CCGTACTGCTTACCCCTGAGGGAGACCCGGATGCACTTGACATCCCGACTCCGCGCTCTTACGCGGAGGCGATAGAGGGTCCCTACTCCTCTCAGTGGCAGGCAGCTATGGACGCAGAGATGGCTTCCTGGAAGTCCACAGGCACCTACGTTGACGCTGTTCCCCCTCCTGGGGCGAACATCGTCAGTGGCATGTGGATTTTCAGGGTGAAGCGACCGCCGGGTTCTCCGCCTGTCTTCAAGGCGCGTTACGTGGCTCGTGGCTTCAGTCAGCGGCAGGGAGTTGACTACTTTCAGACCTTCTCTCCCACCCCGAAGATGACCACTCTTCGGGTACTGCTGCACGTAGCTGCTCACCGTGACTACGAGCTACACTCTCTTGACTTCAGCACTGCTTTCTTGCAGGGCAGCCTGCACGAGGAGATCTGGCTGCGTCGCCCACCTGGCTTCACTGGGTCTTTTCCTCCTGGCACCCAGTGGAGCCTACGGCGGCCAGTCTACGGTCTCCGCCAGGCACCGCGTGAGTGGCACGACACACTGAGGACTACACTTGCGGCTCTTGGGTTTGCTCCCTCTACTGCCGACCCGTCGCTGTTTCTGCGCACCGACACTTCTTTGCCGCCGTTCTACATCCTCGTGTACGTCGACGACTTGGTCTTCGCCACAGCTGACACTGCTGGACTCGCCCACGTGAAGTCCGAGCTGCAGAAGAGACACACGTGCACAGACCTGGGTGAACTGCGTAGCTACCTTGGCTTGCAGATCACCCGGGACAGAGCACGCCGCACCATTACCCTGACTCAGTCACACATGGTGCAGCAGGTCCTTCAGCGCTTCGGCTTCACGTACTCCTCGCCTCAGGCCACTCCTCTGCCTACTCGCCACTCGCTCTCAGCTCTGCCTTCGGATGAGTCCGTAGAGTCGAGTGGCCCGTACCCAGAGCTTGTTGGCTGCCTCATGTACCTGATGACCTGCACACGACCTGACCTTGCATACCCTCTTAGCATTCTTGCACGCTATGTTGCTCCTGGGAGACACAGACTGGAGCACATGGCTGCAGCGAAGAGGGTGTTGCGCTACTTGTGCAGTACGTCGGGCATGGGGCTTGTGCTTGGAGGGCAGAGTCCAGTGGTCCTTACTGGGCACGCAGACGCTTCTTGGGCTGACGACCAGGCTACGCAGCGGTCGTCACAGGGTTACACCTTCAGCCTTGGTTCCGGCTCTGTTTCGTGGCGGGCTACCCGCTCGTCTTCTGTTCTCGGCTCCAGTTGTGAGGCTGAGATCTACGCAGGAGCCATGGCTGCACAGGAGCTTCGCTGGCTCACCTACCTGCTGACTGACCTCGGAGAGCTGCCTCGTTCTCCTCCAGTGCTGTACGTAGACAACAAGGCCATGCTGGCCTTGTGTCGGGAGCAGCGACTGGAGCACAGAACGAAGCACATTGCTCTCCGCTACTTTCTTGCTCGTGAGCTGCAGCAGCGTGGTCAGCTGCGTCTTGCGTACGTGGCCTCTGAGGCCAACACTGCTGATATCTTCACCAAGGCGCTTGCGCCTTGTGACCATCAGCGCTTCTGTACTCAGCTGGGCCTTGTGCCTACCTTGCCTCACTTGCTCACCTCTTGACCTTGCTTGTGCTGTCACATATATATATACCTGCTCTTGCTTGTCTACCCTTTATATATATATGTACTCCTGCATGTGAACTGGCCTTGTGGCCTTGAACTTGTGCTCGGAATGTGTGGTGACTTTGTGATCCACCCTGAGCTTGCTTTGCTTTACTTTGCTTGACTGGTCTTGTGACCCCTTGTTCTCCCCCACTTTGCCTATGGGGGTGTGTCAGAATATTATAGCTCATGCATATTGTGTAGGCTATAGTGGGGTAGCCCATAAGGGGTACAACCCAATTAGGGTTAGTACTTGTACCCAATTCATTCATAGTTCATCCATTCCTTGTTTCTTATCAGCCGGATACTCTCAACCTGTCACCCGATCCTGATGCGATGCTCGCAGCTTTAATCAGTAAGTGACGGTCAGAAACTGTCGCGTTCGTTCTTCATTGTTTTTACTTACTCGTCGTCATTCGTGTTTTGTGCAGAGAAAGCTGGTTACATCGTTGACTCCCCTCAAGGCTTGAAGCTCGCTGCCTTGCTGAAGGTCAATGGCATTTTGAAGCACGCGTGTGTGCGCTTCAACGACCGGATCGGTAAAATCTACCGATTCTGTCGCCTTTATGCTCTGAGCCTAGAACCATGCGTTTTTATGGAGAGGAAGCGGAACTTCAAGGGAGAGCTAACCCTGCAGGTGCCTGAGGACTTACTCACGAAATGTGCTGACTACGTTGAGCGTTTCGCCGACATTAAGTCATTGAGGTTTTTTTTATCGGTTGCATTAATTGGGTTTCGAGATTAACGTGGCATGTTTTGACGTATGTTTTGGTCCGTTGCAGAGTTCTTGGGGATTCCCTGGCACGTCAACAGGAGAGGCAGTCCGTTTTCCAGCCCTGCCTTCGTTAAGTGTGCTTCTCTGTGGGATTCGAGTGGCGCCTTGCCAATTGGTTTATTTCCTGTTCAGCTGCTTGTCATCCTTGCAGCGGTAAGTTTAACATGAGCACTTTATTTGCCTTTCACATTGTGCAATTTAACAAGTGTTGATTGCTTTTCTTCTTCGTGCATGTGAGGTTCAAGTTCCGCCATCCCGGCGCCACGAAGGCTCAGTTGGATCGGTCGGGGGATCCTGGTGCTCTTGCCAGGCAGGCGCGGGTTGTACAGCGCTGGATCAACAGCAGTGACGTCACTCGCACGGACGACTGCCTTGGGATCGGCAAGGTCTGCATCGTTGGTTGGAAGGAGATTCCAGAGGAGGAGCTGGTTGCAGACGAGCATGGTGACCTTGGTCTGGATGAGCTAGTGAGCGAGCCAGGCTCGCAGGAGCGGGTTTATGATGAGAATGAAGAGCAGGAGGAGCTTTACGGGTGACCTGTAGTACCTGTGGTAGCTTAGGGCTGTTTTTGTAGGTGTAGATGAGTTTGTAGCTAATGGTAGTTCTTGGATTTGTATCTATGTAAGCTTTTGACCTTTTTAGTGTATCGTCTTCTCTATTTGTTATAATGTAGCATTGTAGGCTGTACTGAATTTCTAAAAATTTCGGTAAATGTATAGTCACTATCTCTTTATTTTGCTAGTGTACTGTATCTTTACTGTATCTATTGATATTAATGATTTCGAAACTTGCTGTGTTCATCCCTCCTTAGTATCACGTTTTAAATAACGGGAAAAAAATGTAGGATTAAATGAACGAGTCCGAAAGACTGATAACGAGTTTCCTCTTCTAAACGAGTGCGCGTCGGAATGTATTTGGACGGCCCGGCAGCCAATAGAAACAAAGTTGCAACAAATCGTCACGCGCCAGGTGTCCTGTGCGTGTTCGCTCAAATTTCCCGAACCAACTCGGAGGGCTTGGGAGAAATTCTCTGCACCAGTCGATCTCTACAGATGTATCGGAAACCAATCGCAATTCGCGGGAAAACGCCAGGAGTCGAAAACCACTCGGCAACAACTCGTTCCCAACAAGTTTCCCACACCCCCCAAATTGGCGATGTTGTCGGCTTGCCGTCTTTGTTTGGACTCTCTGTTTGCCTCTTTTTAGCAGCAACGCGATGATCATCATGATGATGTCCGATCGTTGGATTATGTAATGTTTATTTCGCTTTTCCTCCTCTCATGCTCCTCGTTGCGCCGTCTCGTGCTTCCTTTCTCTTCTCCCCGTCATGCTTCTCCCTGCACCGCCTCAGGCTTCCTTTTCTTCTTCACTCATGCGTCTGTCGCCACTTGGCTGGTTATCCGTTCCTATTCGCGTATACTAACATGTGGCGTATTCTCTCCTGCCGACATCATGTCACGTTTTGTGGTTGCCCTTCTCGCACAGATCAAATATCCTCCAATTCTTCCTCGAGGGCTATTAGTGCCTACTCCATGCTGAGTGTGAACGTGTAAGTGCCACATCGCGTTGATTGTTGAAAGAGTTTCAAAACGTCGATTGATTGTTCGGTTTATTAGGTCTACTACGGTAGACTCTTATGCTGTCACGTTTGAAACTGCAGAAGGCTCCGCATTAGATGCAGCGAAAGCTTTATTTGTCGATATATTTGGTATATATTTTTCGTCTACTGGTCTTATGCATGGTTGCCTTACTCCCTCCAACCCCGCTCCCTTTCCCCATTCCTCGGTCTCCACTTGCAGAACGGATACGGTCCAAACTTCCTCCTTACACGTCGTTGTTACCACTAAAAACAACTCAATCGACAGCTTGCCAGCCTATCCCAGATACTTCAAGGGCAGCCGTCAAGTGCTCCAGATTCCCTGCAAATTTAGACTGGGATACTACGCAACGAAAAAGCAAATGTGGATCTGCGACTACCGTATTACGTTTCCGGTGAATCCTTGTCCTTTGGCCTTCCCACTCGTGATCTTGACCAGTGCTGGATTGTTACGTAATTCCAGCAAATTCGATCTTGTGGTTAGTGTTGAGGAGGTGGAGTTGAAGCAGGCGTTGGCAGTAAATGTGACTGCCGTTCTGTAATAGAAGCGCTTTTACTGTTTGTCATGTAAGTTGGTTGTGTTAATTCAGTATCGAGGGTGACTTTTCCCTGAGGTTGACTTTCCAGTGTCGAGATGCAACCGAGGATTTCTGTTTGCACGTTCAACCTGCTGCAGGAAAACCACCCAGCTTCTGCTTATATATTGCCGCATTCCAGCAGTAAGGGATCCACACCATTCCCCAAAATGATATCATGTTGCTACATGCATGTGCACCTTCCGCTCAAGAGTCTGTTTCCAAGAACAGGCATCTACTGTAAAGAGCCGGAAATGGTCTTCCCATAGAGCGATTTCACAACGAACACACTCACACTATCCCATCAAGCACCATCAAGCAACTTCAGGCTAGAATAACAGACAAAACCAACCACATCCCCTACATCGGTAATCTCATCCCTTACTCTTATCAGCCACCTCTCAGATTCTGCAGTCCTTCTTTGAGAGAATCCAGAATCCCACGCCCTGCCGCCTCTCCACTCTCCTTCACCCTCTCCCCACTCTCCTTCACCCTCTCTCCGCCCTCCCTCACCCTCTGCCCTGCACGCTCCGCAGATTCCACCATCCCCTTCCGCGCCTCATCCACGCCCCTCTCAGCTCTCCCCATCGCTCCCTCTACCCCCTCCTCCACTCTCCCTTTGACCCTCTCCGCTGTCTTTCCAGCCTCCTGCCTCGCCTTCTGCACCCCCCTCGCCCTCTCCGGCGCCTCCTCCTTCACCTGCTCAATCCCTTCCTTCACATATCCAGCAGCTGAATCCGCGTTCTCCTGCGCGGCGGAAACCCCTTTTCGCGCCTGCCCTTCCACCCTCCCGCGCGCCTCCTCGAGAATTTCCTCCGCCTTCTTTTCCGCTGCGCCGAGGCCTTGCCGCGTTTTCTCCACGGCCCCTTCTGCCTGCTCCGTAATCGCCCCCCCGAGCTCCTCCCCGCGCCTGCCAGCCGCCTCGCGCAATTCCTCCGCGCGCTGGCCTGCAGTCTCCCCGAGTTCCTCCGCGCGCCTTCCAGCAGCCTCTTTCAATTCCTCCGCGCGCCTGCCTGTCGCTCCCCGCAACTCCTCCGCCTGTTCGCCTGCTGCCTTGACCGTTTCTTTGGCCTGATCCGCGACCCCCTTGCGCGTCTCTTCCACCCTTTCAGACAGGACCTCTCCTGCTTTCTTCGCTTGACTCTCCATTGTCTGTCCTGTTTCCTCCGCCCGTTCCTTGACCTTCTGCCCGGCGCTCTGGGCATAATCGGAAAGTTCGTTCAAAGCCCTGGCGGCAGGGTTGGAAGGAAGCTGCTCGTATTCCACTCCCGGCGACTCTGTGGCGCATGCAGCGAGGGGAGTGCAAGCGGCGACAATGACGAACATCGCAACCACACTCGCGGCAGCCAAAAATGTCGCGACCGTCACGACTGGGGCTCGAGACTCCGCGTCACTCGTCTCAGTAAATCCAGCATCGGTAACAATTGTGTGAGATGCACGGCAGGCAGCGCCATCGCGATCCATGCTGCAGCGGACGCCATTCAATGAGACAGAAGCAGCGTGGATCGCCGAAGCCGAAGCGAAGGAGGTGGATTGCCGTGAAATGCCGGAGACGACGCGTCGTGGACCAGCAGTCGACGCGAGAAACGCTGCACGAGTTTCACTGCTGCTAGAACGCAGTGCGGGGACGCTGGGTGACGGAGAGAAGCGAAGCGTTGCAATTCCAGGAGTCAGGAGCGCAGTAATGGATGCCATTACACAGGTTCAGGCGCGAATGCGATGTCTTACCACTTCAGCAGCTGACAATGCTTCCGGAGCGCGGAATTGCGCAGAAGAAGATCGCACGAACGTTGGGGAGGTAAAACCGGATGAGCGACGCTATATATTGTCGCGGAAAGAATCCTCTTCCACGATAGCGGCCTATACGGCGTCGAGAAGTGATCCGATCTTAGTTGAGGTGCCGCGTTACGATCGAGGCTGTTGTATCCTCGGAAAGTCGAGGTTTCTCAACTTTCTCGTGGACATCGAGTTGAGATGACGAGTCGAAAGAACAGGGCTCCCCGTTTGACAAGGCTGGTGGAAGAGGGGGGTTGGGCTGGTTGGAATGGCAAATGTGGTGTTTTCGAGACGCACATTGCAAGTCACATGCATGGCACATTTTAGCCGGATTGGCTGGAGAAGCTGACGCGTGGCAGAACACCCAGTGCTGCCTTACAAATGCTTCTAATACATTGCTTTGTACCTTACACTTCATGAAAGAAACGAAGGGAGGTAATATGGAAAGCTGAACACAAGACTTTTGCGTTGTCTTCCACTTACGTTTCACTTTGATGTGGTTCTTTTCGTTGTAGATATCTCGGTAAAACCCCTGCACACTAACGTGCACCACCGCCGAGGAAGTAAAGCCGAACCTCATATCGAACGTCATTGAACGGCTACGATTACTCGACACCCACAAAAACCGTCACCAAGGCAGTTCACAGAACCACAACCGTAAATCGCTCTCCCAAAACCAAGCCAACCCAGACCTCTTTTTCCCCCGACCTCCCCACCTTACCTGTGTTTTCCCACTACCTCGATGTTCCATACCGTCCTGTGCCGTTCCCCCTCTACCCTTACCGTACCTGGGCAGTTGGTTTCATACCCTATCACCAGATCTGCAATTCCGGTTCCGTCTTCTTGCAGATCTGAACGTCACTTCATCACCATCAGCCAGCCACACAGATCAGTAACCTCAACTTTTCCAAGCCACCTCAGATTTCGTCAGGCTTCTCGGCACTCGGTCATTCTTCGGGCCATCCTGCTTGCGTAATCGTCGCGTATTCGTCGCGTAATTGTTGCGTCATCGTGGAGTGATGGACACGGAGGCGAAGCTGAACATGAGCCTGGAGGAGCTTGCGATGTCGTCGCGGAGGTCTCCCGGAGGCGGACTTAACGCGCGTCGTGTAAACCGGCGTCCGTCGCCGTACTCGCGCGGAGATTTCGGAACCCGGAGGGGCAGGTGGGAGACGGGGATATACTCTTGGGGATGAGGTGCAGTGGCTCGCCCGACTAAGGGCTTGTCTAACGCCATGTCAAGGCGTGTTAATAGGAATTTTGGAGGCAACTGAAACTTGGCATAGGCACTGGCGTGAACCAGATCTGATGCGCCAACGGCGCTGCATCTGCGCGTGCGACCTCGTTGGTCACGGACAGCGGATTTGGATTTTATTCGTTTTTACGCGGCCTTGGAAGCCTGAGACATGCGGCGGACTCATACAGCCTCTTTAGCTTTCTCGATGGTTACTCCGCTCCTCAGGTGGTGAAATCATCAGAAGCCGACAGTCTGAGTCCATGCGTTTAGAACGCCAGATCTCCAAGAATCAGATATCAGCGATGCAGCTCCTATCGCGTCGCTCCGCGTTCGTTGTGTTTCGGTGTGTTCTTCTGGTGGATGCTGCTGTGCTGCTGTGTGCTGCCGCGTGCTGCCGCTCACCTTTGCCCTCCTCGTGTTGTTTCGTGCGCGTGTTGATGTGGTTGAGGGCGGCGGATGGATGGTGGCGGTTGGATGGCGGCGGATGGATGATGGCGGATGGAGGATGAGGAGTCGGTGGTCGAAGGAGAGAGGGAAGGAGGTGAGATGGGGTGGTGGTGGCGGTGACGGTGGCGGTGGTGGTGGTGATGGTGGTGGTGGTGGTGGGTGCGGTGTGAGGTGGAAGTCGAGGAGTGTGTGGTGGGCGAAAGGATGGTGGTGATGGTGGTGGCGGTGGTGATGGGAGGGGGGGTTGATGGTGGTGGTGGTGGTGGTGGTGCGCGTTTCGGGTGTGCGTGGGGTGGTGGTTGGAGGGAGAATGGTGTTGTCGTGGTTGGCCTCGCTCTTGCCTCTCCTCCCTTTCTCCCCCCTTTTCCCTCTCTTTGTTTCCCCTCGACCCGCCTTTTCGATATGCTCCGTCTGCCCGTGGCTCGTCTCGGCTCGTCTCGGTTCGTTTCGGTCCATCTCGCCGCGCCTCGGCTCCTCCCGTCTCGTTCGCGCGCATCGTCATCATCATCGTTGCGGGCGCACACTAAGCAGCTCTACGATCATCTGCAACAACTGCAAGATGCCCGGCCACATCGCACGCGAGTGCACCAACCTCGCCGTCTGCAACAACTGCGGCGCTCCAGGGTGCGTGCCCTTCCTTGTGGTGCAGCAACCGTTTATTCCTTTCTTGTTTGTTTCCCGCCGCTTCTGATTTTATTTTTTATTTTTCTCCCGGCATTCATTCCTCTCCACGCCCGTTCGTTTTTCTCCAGTTTTCTCGTTCCGGGCTTGTCATTGTGGTTTCCTATGCTGCTTGCTCTATTCATTCTTCAGCGCTTTCTCTTCCATCGTCTCATGATTCGAGTGTCATCGTTCTTCGTATATTCGTCTCTGACGTCCCCCCACACCTCCCTCCCACCCCTCCTCCCCATCCCCCCTTTCCCCATCCTTCCCCTCCTCCCCGAATTCCCTTGTTTCCCCTCCTCCCCTCCCCCCTCCCCCCCTCACTTCCTTTCTTCCTCCGCTTCCTTCCCCCCCCCCCCACCCCCCCCCCCCCTCCCCCCCCGCAGCCACATCGCGTCGGCGTGCACGTCGGAGGTGGTGTGTCGCAACTGCAAGCAGCCGGGGCACATCGCAGCGGACTGCACCAACGAGGCCGTCTGCCGCAACTGCGGCAAGCCCGGCCACATCGCCGTCGGCTGCACTGTCGGCGCCGTCCCCAAGTCGCAGGTGAGTTGAGTCTCAGGGCACGTTGCGCCGCTTTACACCTTTCAAGGCGCCTCAACCGCCGGGAAGCTTGCGCCGTTCTGCCACTCTTCCGTTGTTTATCCCGTTGTCTCTTTCCGTTTATTGCGCTGTGTCTTACCGTTGCCTCCCCAGTCCTCTCCTCCTCCCTCGCTTCTCCCCGCGCTTTTCTGTGTGCCTCTCCCATCACTCCCCTCCCCTTCCTCCCTTCCCCTCCAACCCTCCTCCCTCTCTCTCTGTCCCCCCCACCTGCTATTTCAGTTGTGCAGCAACTGCTTCAAGCCGGGCCACTCGTCAGCGGAGTGTGGCAACGAGATGGCGTGCAACAACTGCCGTCAGACAGGCCACAAGGCGCGCGAGTGCCCCAACGCGCCCGTTTGCAACGTCTGCGGCGTCGCGGGCCACTTTGCCCGCAACTGCCCCTCCGGGGCCGGCGGCGGCGGCGGTGGCGGTGGCGGCGGCGGGTTTGGTGGCGACGGGTTTGGCGGCGGTGGTTATGGGGGCGGGGGAGGGGCCACCTGCCACGCGTGCGGACTTCCAGGGCATATTGCACGTAACTGCCCCAACGCTGGTGGTGTGGTGGTAAGTGATGCTTGAAATTTATGGGTCTAGAGTGGTTGCAGGGCGGGTGACTTGGTTGGATGCGGTGGGATGCTTTGGGAGTGGGTTGATTGAGTGTTTAGGTTGGTGCTGATGAAGGTTTTTTCTGGCGGAATATTGTGGGCGTACCATTTTTGTTGGGCTTTCGTATTGTTTCTTTATAAAAGCTGCAATTTTGTTTTATGTGCGCATGGTACAGTAAGCACGGAGCCTCTTGCGGGTTTACTGCATAGGCGCACTCCCAACCACACATAAATCAACAGCTTACAACGCCTGACGCATTCCCCCCCAATTCCTGTGTATCCGCCCTGTGTGCTCGTCTCGTCTCTCTCCGCAGGCGTACCGCGGAGGAGGCGGCCGGGGTGGAGAATTGTGCCACTCTTGCCAGCAACCGGGGCACTTCGCAAGGGAGTGTCCGGTGAGTTCTCAGGCGCCTAGTTAATATTCCCCCAATTCTTGTGTGTCCGCCGGTTTTTGAGAATTCTAAAAAACCAGCACTTCGCAAGGGAGTGTCCGGTGGGTTCTGATGCGCCTATTTTATATTCCTCCAGTTTCTGTGTGCCCGCCCTGGAGGCGGCGGCGGACTTTTTGTTTGACTTGACTCAAAAGTGTCCGGTGGATTCTGATGCGCCTACCGTAATTTATATTTTCCCAACCTCTGTGTTGCTGCCTCGGAGGCGGCGGTGGGGGTGGCGATCTGTGCCACTCGCACCGTCAACCGGGGCACTGTGAGGGAGACTCAGGCGGGTTTTGAGGCGCCTAATGTGATTATTTCCATGTGTCCCTGTGCTCTCCTCTCTCCGCAGGCGTACCGTGGAGGCGGCAGCGGGGGTGGCGAGCTGTGCCACTCGTGCCGTCAGCCGGGGCACTGTGATGGAGTCTTATGCGGGTTCTGAGGCGCCCAATCAAATTATTTCCCCAATTCCCACGTGTCCGTGTGCTCGTATCTCTCAGCAGGCGTACCGTGGAGGAGGCGGCGGGGGTGGCGAGCTGTGCCACTCGTGCCGTCAGCCGGGGCACTTCGCGAGGGAGTGTCCCGTGGGGGTGGTGTGCCACGTGTGCGGCGGCAGGGGGCACATGGCGGCGGCGTGCCCGTCTGATCCCCGCGCCATGCGCGGTGGCGGCGGCCGGCGATAGAGGGGCTGTTGTTGGGGGGCCTATTTAGGCAGCATGGGAGAGAGGAGGGGGTCAGGGCAGGGGGCAGGGGGCAGGGGGCAGGGGGCAGGGGTCAGGGGGCAGGGGGCAGGGGGCAGGGGGCAGGGGTCAGGGGTCAGGGGGCAGGGGGCAGGGGGCAGGGGGCAGGGGTCAGGGGGCAGGGGTCAGGGGGCAGGCGGCAGGGGTCACATGGCTGCAGCCTGTCCCCCTGATCCCCGCGCAGTGCGCGGAGGAGAGAGGCAAGGGCACAGCGCTGGGGTTAGGGTGTTTGGAGTGGGCCTGTGCATTTGTTCTGTGGTCGTTTGCTCAGAGGAACAGGGTGGATGGATGGAGGCTTGTTTTGCAGTGCATGCTTACTGTTGACTGTTTACGGTTGATAGGATAGCGCTGGATTATAACCTCTAGGTTGTTACTGTGCTCGAGCCTCTTAGGGCGTGGTGCATACATTCACTTCATGTATCGCAGCAGCACCAGCAGCATATCTGTCTACTTAGGTTATATTAAAGTATGAGTGTGTTCCTACACCCGTATCGAGAGAACCTTGTATCAGGCTCACATTGAAAATTCCCCTAAACCCGAAACCTCTCGCTAGTTTTACCAAGTGTAAGGAATTTTCTCGGCATTCCTTATGGAGCCCGACTACATCGCGTACAGCAACAGCCGTTGTTCGTCCGTTACTGCTAACGGAACTTCGCCGACTTCGCGCGCACTGTTTCACCAAACTTCGCACTGCTGGCCCGGCCGTGTCGGCCTACGCTTCGGGACTAGCCCGAGCCTCGCTGCCAGCATAGCACTGGCTAGCTCGCACGCACCGCGTTACCGTTTGCATGCTTCGCATATAAATGTTCGCTCATGCCTTCGCTCACATTTTTGTACTCGTTTGACACCTTAGTGCAATTCTCGCTACTTCGATTCATTGCACCCGTAACACTTGGTATTCAGAGCCCCTTTCTTTCGGACCGCGCATCTCCGCACCCCAGGAAATCAACTTTTGATTTTTCACTCGAAGGGACTTACGTACCTTAGCACCTAGGAGCCGCTGTCCTCGCGTTCTCTCGTAAACGCGTGCAGCCACGACTGCGCCTAGACTAAGACGAGCCGACGTCCTTCGAAATGGCCGAACACATCGACGTCACGACTCTCACGCAGGAGCATTTGAACGATCTGCTGCGACAAATCCGCGAGAGCGCCGAGGAAATTGCGACGCTGACGGCAGAACGCTCGTCCCTGCAAAACGACCTCACAAGGGCACAATCCCAAGCACCTGGCACTCCGATTCAGCCCGCACCACAGACATCACAGCACGGAAGTGTGGGGCAACCCGCGAGCGCGGCCAGTGATGGCGTCGTCCGCCCCGACGGAGACGACGACCACGGCACGACACACCCCGGAGCGACGAATGCGGCCCCAAGTCAACCTCGCGTCACGATTTCGGCACCGACCCACGATTCGGGACTGCCGTCACCGATGCCGCTGAAGCCGCAGCGTCCGCCATGCTTTGACCCGAGTCAACGGGGTGGTCCTACCGTTCAGGCGTGGTTGTTCACGATGAACGTGTTTTTCGACGCCAACTACGTCTCGGAGGATTCGACGAAAATTCGCTACGCCGTGTCGCTGCTGCGAGGACCCGCCATGGACTGGTGGCGCGTCATCGTCACGAAGCCGAATGACTACGCGACTCTACCGACACGGGAAGAACAAACCGGACCCTGGGCGCCGTCGTACTTCGTGGAGGTGCCCCAATATCGCACGCGGGACGCGTGGTGCGCAGGTCTGCGCGCTCGATTTGAGCCAATTGCGGCTTCGATCGCGGCGCGACAGAAGCTCCGCACTTGGCGCCAACTCGGTTCAGTCCAGGACTACACCAGCGGGTTTCTGGCGCTATGCGAGCAAGTGGGCTACATGCATGAGAGCGAGCGCATCGACCGCTACATCGGCGGCCTGAAGCACGACATCGCTCAAGAAATTCAGCTTCGCGGCGTCACCGATTTTCAGGAGATTCTCGCTATGGCGGAGAAACTCGACTTCTTCCGCCGACCGAGACCGGGGTCCTACGGCAGTAGCAGCAACTGGGGACATCGGTCTCGTGGGACGAACGAGGGCGCTACGATACGTGCCGTCGCCGCGAATGCCGCTGCCGCACCGTTCAAAGGGCGTTGCTTCGCGTGTAATCGGCCGGGACACCGCAAGAGCGAATGCCCGGAAAACGCTAAGGGAAAGGGGGAAGCTGAGCAGCAGAAACAGACCAAGCAGCAGGGAAACGCTGGGAGTCAGTAGCAGACGGGCCCTCTACTGACAGGTCACGCCGCTCGCCCGACCCAACCGACCCTCACCGAGTGATTGTGCCGGTTCACGCAATCGACCACACCCGGCCGAATAAGGAGGGTACTACGGTAGACAGCCCTATACTGCTTAGTGGGAAAATCGGGACGGACTTAGTTAAAATCTTCGTAGACGGGGGAGCCAGCCACAGCCTCATCAACACTGCTACAGCACGAAAACTGCGACTGCCACTGGACAGATGTTTACCTGAGATCGACGCACGACTGGTAGACGGCACGCCGCTGGCAATACGGGAACGCGTAGACCGGGTTCGGATTCGATGCGGGGGTAACTTCACATTTAGCCAAGAAATGCTCGCAACGACCCTCGACGGAACCGATATTTTACTCGGGCGTGATTGGTTGCGACGACACAATCCGCGAATCGACTGGACGACGGGTGACTGCACCGTGCGAGTGAACGGTAACCACATCGCCCTACCTCGCTGGGGCTCGCCTGAGTCTTCGTCGGTGCGTGTCAACGCGATCACGATGAAACGCGCCGTAGCGGCGGGAGCTGACGTGTACGCGGTCGACATTCGGGAAGCCGAGGCATCAGACAAGGGAGGGGATTTGCAGAAACTGCTGACCGACGTACCGAGTGACCTGGCAGCACTGTTGAAGCAGTACAGCGACATTTTCCCGGACGACTTACCGACGGGACTGCCACCTCAGCGACCGCACGATCACAGAATAGAATTGGAACCGGGGGCACAGCCAACAGTACAGCGACAGTTCCGACTGACCCAGCCCGAACTGGACGAACTGAGGAAGCAGCTCGATTACCTGCTCGAGAAGGAGTTCATTCGCCCTAGTTCGTCGCCTTTCGCAGCACCGATACTGTTTACACCGAAAAAAGACGGGGGATTTCGCATGTGCATCGATTACAGAGCACTGAACAGGGTTACCATCAAATCCCGTTACCCCATCCCACGAGCCGACGAACTGATCGACCAACTGCGCACAGCCCGGGTTTTCTCGAAAATCGACCTCCGGGGGGGTTACCATCAGATTCGTGTCAATCCGCCCGACTGCCCTAAAACCGCATTCCGAACACGCTACGGATCCTTCAAATACACCGTCATGCCCTTCGGACTGACCAACGCCCCCGCCACTTTCCAAATGACCATGAACGAAGCTTTCCGCCCACTCTTAGATAAGTGCGTCATAGTATACCTGGACGACATACTGATTTACAGCCCTGACAGAGCACAGCACTTACAGGACATCGAAGCAGTTTTTAAAATACTGAGTGAGAACCGCCTACTGACAAAAGCGTCCAAGTGTGAATTTTTACAGGACCGTCTGGAGTTTTTGGGACACGTTATTTCAGCCGCAGGAGTGGAAATAGACCCGAAGAAAATTGCGACGATTCAGGCTTGGCACGCGCCGACCAACTTGACAGAGTTGCAGAGTTTTCTGGGGTTCGTCAACTACGTGCGCCGGTTCGTCCCCGACATGGCGAAGCTGACTGCCCCGTTGACTGACCTGCTGAGGAAGGGGGTTGAGTACACGTGGGGGGAGAAAGAGCAAGTTGCCTTCTCGTCCCTCAAAAACATTTTGTGCTCACCGCCCGTGCTTCACATCGCCGATCCACACCGTCCGTTCGAGCTCGTCACTGACGCAAGTGACATCGCTGTGGGAGCAGTACTGTTGCAGGATTTCGGGAACGGCCTCCGGCCAATCGCGTACGAGTCCCGCAAACTGCACCCGCCCGAACGCAACTACCCGATACACGACCGCGAAATGTTGGCGATCGTGCACGCGTTCAAGGTTTGGCGGTGTTACCTGACTGGCGCCGACGTGACAGTACGGACAGACCACCGATCACTACAGTACTTACGCGCCCAACCAAATCTCAATCCGCGACAAATTCGCTGGCTGGACTACCTCGAGTCCAACTTCCACTACACGGTTACGTACAAGAAAGGCGCATCCAACATCGCCGACGCACTCACCCGCCCTACCGCCCAACTCCACGCCATCCTACTCGCCCAGACCAACCCGCTGTTAACAGGCCTATTCACCCACGGATACCGCACCGACCCATTTTTCACGACTGGAAACTCACAGCAACTGGCAGAAGCTAAAGGAGTTTATTACGTAAAAACAGGCACCAACCGCATCTGGGTACCTGCGTACTCACTACTGAGGGAGCTGCTACTGCAGGAGGCACACGACGGAATTACCTCGGGACACTTTGGGGTAGGAAAAACGCGACAGCAACTGCAGCGGTATTATTACTGGCCGGAGCTGTTGACCGACGTACAGCAGCACGTGGGTTCGTGCCCCACGTGTCAGGTGATGAAGAGCTCGAGGAAGCGGAAGGCGGGTCAATTGCAGCCGATACCACCGCCCGAGCGCGCCTGGCAGCAGGTTACCATGGACTTCGTCACAGGGTTACCTTCGAACCCTGGGGGTAACGACGCGGTGATGGTCGTCGTTGACAGGCTGACGAAGATGGCACACTTCGCTGCGTGCAAAAAGTCGATCTCAGCCGAGGAGACCGCTCGTCTGTTCATCGCAGCCGTTGTTCGCCTGCACGGGATACCAGCAGCGATTATCAGCGACAGGGACACGAAGTTTACCAGCAACTTCTGGAAAAACCTCTGGGAGCAGTTCGGGACCAGGCTACAGTTCAGTTCGTCGTACCACCCTGAGACCGACGGCCAAACGGAGCGGACGAATCAGACGATGGAGCAGTTGATTCGTGCCACGTGCGACGACCCCACGACTTGGGAACAGCAGCTGCCGCTGATCGAGTTCGCGTACAACAACGCCACGTCAGCGACGACGCAGCAGTCCCCCTTCTACCTGAACTACGGGCAAAATCCTACAGTGCCCATGACGCCGAGTCCGGACAATCCGACACCACGTGCACAACAATTCGCCGAAATTCTGCAAGCTGCCCGCACCAGAGCTGCAGAAGCAATTAAAAAAGCAAATGTCATCGCTAAGCGCAACGCCGACCGCCACCGCCGACCCGTCACCTACCAGTCAGGGGATTACGTACTGCTCGACACGCAAAACCTGCGACTGCCCGACGTACCAAAACTGCGACCGCGCTACTGTGGCCCATTCCAAATCAGCCACATGATCACGCCAGTAACCGCGCACCTACTGTTACCGACCGAATGGTACATCAGCCCTTCGTTCCACGTCAGCTTGCTTCGCCCATACATCCCAACCACAAGCCAATTGCCTCGCCACCGCCCGCCATCCATGACTCGCCCTGCATCGGAGCCGATCATCGAGCCCGAAAAAATCCTGAGCCATCGGATTCGACACCCCACGGGAATCAGGAGGATTGAATTCCTCGTTCGCTGGAAGGACCGCACGCCAACTGAGGATAGCTGGGTGTCCCTGGCCAACATTGAAAACCACCCTGCCCTGCAAGCAGGGCTGACGATATCAGACTATTTTAGTCTGATTGTCTGAAATTTCAGACTATTTTCCTGACATTCCTGATTTTTCAGAGTTGGCTGGTTTTGAAAAATGAGTGCTTCAGACTAATGGTTTTTTCGATACTGAAAAATTCAGAGAACTTGCTTACCGGATAATGAGTTTTCATACTACAGAGTACGAACTCCCCTTCGCCATACCTGTTACTTCGAGGAAAACCCATCCCTCCGAACTTGTGCAAAAGGTTCGTTAGTAGGAAAACCTGCCTTAGTCTATGAATTATAAAATTTTCAGAGTTATACTTCTCTGGTTCCTGAGAAATCAGAGTATTCACTTTTTGGAAAATGGGCCTCAAACTAAAAAAAATTGGGGGGCCAAAAAAATCAGAGTGGTTTTATTCGAAAAGTCAGCCCTGCCTGCAAGTGTACCTGAGGAGCCGGGGATTCCGCGACATACACGCACTCGCGTAGCGGAGGGGGCTTCTTGAGGGGGGGGGGGTAGTGTAAGGATTTTTCTCGGCATTCCTTACGGAGCCCGACTACATCGCGTACAGCAACAGCCGTTGTTCGCCCGTTACTGCTAACGGAACTTCGCCCGTTACTGCGCACTGTTTCACCAAACCTCGCACTGCTGGCCCGGCCGTGTCGGCCTACGCTTCGGGACTAGCCCGAGCCTCGCTGCCAGCATAGCACTGGCTAGCTCGCACGCACCGCGTTACCGTTTGCATGCTTCGCATATAAATGTTCGCTCATGCCTTCGCTCACATTTTTGTACTCGTTGACACCTTAGTGCAATTCTCGCTACTTCGATTCATTGCACCCGTAACACCAAGCAAAAAGTACATTCTTGATACCGTACGAGGTTTCCTGATATGAAGACGTAGGAACACGCCCTGAGACACTCATACTCTTTTTGGTATGTTCTGATCTCGATTATGGTTTTGAGGACAGTGCATGGTTATTGCTGACATGCAGTTGTTGTCAGAATCCCAACCACTTATCACTGGGATAAAATGGCTTGTTTGTGGAGCGGGTGAGTGCGCCCATAACCCCCCAGGCCACCGTGCCTGTAACCCTTCCCTAGGATCAATCAAGGATCACCAGTGGACCTCTGACAGTTGTGATACTTAGTATCATCTACCCAGCTTGGTACAGCAAGGTACAGTAATTCAGACAGCATTAGTACCGGTACCGTACATCCTCTTTACTCACCTCCTCACTACCATTTACCCCGCCCCCCCCCCCCCCAATCCTTACTGTGCCACCAATATCCTCTGTAGTATCTCCCCACACCGCATCAAAGTGTTGACTCACGGGACGTGTCTAGAACACCAGCATTCCCACCTTACCACTCGTCCTGCCTGCCTGCTACACAACTATCGAAGGTCACGACCACTCACCACGGCGGCCCCAGCGCTAAGTCACAGTCAATTAATTATCTGGACTCAATCACACAGGAATTGATCATGCATGCATGCATGCAGACTTAAAACAAGGAGAGTCGAACATACAGACTCAAGCGCACAGTCAGACATGCGATGCGAGCCTACAGATTCTGCGCCATGCCCTGCTGCCACTCTCTCCAGCCGTGTCTCCTCAGTTCAGAGCACTCCACTCCATGCACGCTCAACAGGGCACGCTCAACAGGGCACGCTCAACCATGCACACTCTCAAGTGCAAGTCAGTAATGCGAGCCTACAGAATCTGCTGCTCCATGCCATGCAGCCACTCTCTCCAGCCGTCGCCTCAGCTCGGAGCGCTCCACCAGATCCAGATCCACGTAATACTCCTTCCCTCCCGCTACCAACGTTCTCTCGTTTTGAGTCGACCCTAAAACTCAACCATGCACACTCGAGTCAGTCATGCGAGCCTACAGAGTCTGCACCATGCCCTGCTGCCACCCTCTCCAGTCGTCGCCTCAGCTCAGGGCACTCCACCAGATCCAGATCCACGTAATACTCCTTCCCTCCCGCTACAAACGTCGGCTGTAGCGGCCGGTTGCCCTTGGGCGCAGCGGCGATATCGCGGAGATTCACAGTGGATCGCATAGGGGTGCCCATCCAGGAGAGGGTTTCTATCAGCATGCTCGGCGCGCCTCTACGGAATCTAATGCTGCGGACGTAGGGGGAGCCTACCCAGTGTAGGGTTGCTGTGGTGGCTGTGCTGAAAAGGGCTAGCGTTCCAGCGATGCTGCCTTTAAGGAGTACGTTCGCGGCGGCTGCGCCTGGCGCTGCTGCTGCTGCTCCGACCCCTCCTGCTGCGCCTGCTGCGCCTGCTGCTCCTGCTGCTCCCGCTGCGCCTGCTGCGCCGGTGGCGCCGGCCGCTGCTGCTGCGGCGCCGCCTGCGGCGGATAAGGCACCAGTGGAGTAGAAAGTGACGATGGGTCCTAGAGTGAGGGAGAGCAGGCAGGTGGAGAGGGAGAGAATCTTCACGTTTCTGAGAGGGGAGGAGAACGGCCCTTGGTACACCACGGCCGCGTTATCGAGTCCGCTTGTAACGCGGGAGTCTAAAGAAAAAGGGACGGAGTCGGCTGACGGTTGCTGATGTGGATCCTGTTGTTGCGATTGGCTCAGCTGGTGAAATCGCCGGATTTGCCGCAGCTGCTGCTTGGTGGAGATGCGAGAATTGGTCGAGATGGAGCCACGGCTTGCGAAGGGCACACTGACACCAGCGGCAAACGCGGCAGCTATAGCAGTGCTCTGTGCTGCTAGAGGTGCTGTTGTTACTGGCTTATGCGACCCGAATGCGAATCGGGCGAGGACTCCGGGTAAGCGGAGGTGTCGGCGGAGGTGTCGGCGGAGCGCATGACGCGGTAGCGCCGTCAGCGACGATTTGGCACGGGTTGAAGGATCGCGTGAAGGCAGGGTGGCGATCTGGCGAAGGAGTGGGGAGGATACGAGGTTCGATCGGCGAAACGGGCAGTGGATCGGTGGGAAGTGAGCGAGCATAGATCCCGGCGCAGCGAATGAGCAGCGTTGGTGGAAGATCGAGGAGATGGCGGCGGGAGACAGCAGCCAGGAGCCCACGGGAAGCCATGGCAGCGGTGGGTATGCTGAAGCGGAGCGGAGTGGCGCAAGCTGAGTTCGAACAGAAAAAGAAAACTGAGTTGTAAATTTGTTTGGTTTGGCTGTTTGTTTCGTGTATCGGGGTGTATCTTGCGGGTCGATTTGTGGAAAGTAGAACAGGTGTAGCGAGGATGACATTCCCTAACATGCGTCTGTAGTGAAACATTCATCTTCATCTTTAATTAATCTAGGAGATTCTAACCGAAAGAAAGCGTTTGTCACTTGCAGCTAAAGCAGTTCAGTAAGTAAATGCATCATACCAGCTGAATTACGGAGTCTATGGGAAATGCTCCATAAATGCTGTACAATCCTCCCCCCTTTCCCCCTATCTTATCTTCTCTCCCTTCTCTAGCTCCAATGAAAATACGAAAGCTGAGTAACCACAACGAGATCGATCCCCCCTAGAAAGTAGCCACCACAGCCCCATTGTATAGCAGCACCACCACTGTCCTATCAGGCCTCCACTCCAACGCCACGTGTAGATCCAACAGCTGAGCAGACTTCTGCAGCGCCTCAAAAGAAGCCTCACTGAAACGGCATCCCATTAGAAAGTAGCCACCACAGCCCCGTTGTACAGCAGCACCACTGTCCGATCAGGCCTCCATTCCAACGCCACATGTAGATCCAACAGCTGAGCTGCCAGTGCCATAGCTGCCTGCATGCCCCCCCTCGTGCTTCCCCCCACAACCACCCCGCCTCCTCTCCCTGCTGCTCCCCCTCCCCCTCCTCCGAATGCCCCTCCCAGGGAAGCAGCAAGGGGAGGAAGAGTGGAGGATGCGGAGGGAAGCGGGCGGCCTGCGGTGGCTGTATCTGTGGTTGTGCCGCCCGGTGCTCTCGTGGCCCCTGCTGCTGCTGACCCGCCTGCTGCCGTGAAAAGGAAAGAGCCAAAGGCCTGGCAGGGGGGGAGAGAGTGAGAGGGCGACACAGTGGGGGAGACACGGGAGGCAAAGGAGGAAAAGAGGTAGGGAGAGAAGCATGGGTCAACTGAGAACGGAGATTCAGGTATGCTGGTTCATTGCTTCAGGTTTCGTGTTTAGAATCATTAAATATACTAGTAATTGAGAAGTGGAGAGTGGGAGGGCCAAGAAGCAATGATGAAATGCTGCCCCCCAACCCAATTCCCTCTCGTCCCCTGTCTCTCTCTCACCATCGTCGGCAGCGCATCCCCACTCGACCGCCGCCGCCGCCGCTGCTGCTGCTGCTGCTGCTGCTGCTGCTGCTGCTGCTCTTCCTCCTCTGCTCGCCCCACCGAGCCACCTCCAGTCAGCACGAGCAGATCAGGAGGGAGCTCCGGCAGGTGTGGCACCATAACCAGCTTGCTGCAGTGCACTGGTGCCGTGGGCGCTCGAGTTAATTTCTCCCACCACGCCATGCCTATGGACCACCACCGCAGCACTAGTCCGATCTGAGAGAAGGCCACTACGGCCTCGCCATCTGGCGCGAAAGCGACGGCTGAGATGCTCCCGATGTGCGCGAGCGGGTGCGGGGGGGTGGGCTGGTGGGGGAGAGAGGCAGCGGTAGTGGAAGAGGAGGAGGAGGAGGGGGAGGAGGAGGGGGAGATGGCTGGGAGCGAGGAATGGGAGGAGGACGGAGAAAGCAGGGTGGTTGGTGATGGTGCTGCGGAATCATTGGCAGTAGTAGCAGCAGCAGCAGATGAGGAGGAGCGGCGGGAGAGGGAGCGGAGGAAGGTGGGGTGGCCTGGAGCGCTGCTAGCATCTAGCGTGCGGAACTTGGTGCCCCTGCCATGAGGGGAGGGGGGATGGGAAAGGGGGAAGGGGACTTCTGAGGCGCCTCATAGGGAGGTGGAGTGGCCTGGTGCGCTGCTGGCGTCTAGTGTGCGGAACTTGGTGCCCCTGCCATCAGGGGGGGGAGGGAGGGGGGAGGGGGACGGAAACTTTTGAGGCGCCTCGAAGGAAGGTGGAGTGGCCTGGAGCACTGCTGGCGTCTAGCGTGCGGAACTTTGTTCCCCTGGCGTGTGGGGAGGGGGTAGGGAGGACGGCGGAAGGGGAAAGGGTTGGAGGGGGAAGAGTAGTGGTGGATGGCTAAAAAGGCAAGGATAGATGAGATTGAACCGCCAAGAGCCAGCGAGAGCAGCAGCAACAGCAACAGCCCATATGCGAATGTGGTGTGGAGCAGGGAGGAGGTGTCAAGAAACATTGAAATCACTTTTGAGAATTCTCAAAAGTGATTTCAATATAGGAGAGTTCAGGAAACAGGACCAGCAGTCAAGGCGAAGGGGTAGGACGCAAGGGCAGGGAGCAGCAAGCAAGGGGCAGGCAGGGGCAGCAGAGAAGTCTCACGAGCGCAGCTCATAGACATGAATAGGAGTTGGGCGAGGCGGGCGGGAGGCAGCGAAGAAAGAGCAGGGGAGAGGAATCTCACGAGCGCAGGTCGTAGACGCGAAATGGCGATGCGTCCCACATCGCCCACGGCGTCCCCCACAGCGAGGCGCAGGTAGGAGTTGGGCGAGGCGAGAGAGGAGCAGGGAGCAGGAGGCAGGGGAAGGGATAGGGAGCATGGGCAGGGAGCAAGCAGCAGGGAGCAAGCAGCAGGGAGCAAGCAGCAGGGAGCAAGCAGCAGGGAGGAGGGAACTGGGGGGCAGCAGGGGAGAGAAATCTCACGAGCGCAAGTCGTAGACGTGAATGGCGATGCGTCCCACGTCCCCCACGGCGTCCCCCACAGCGAGGCGCAGGTAGGAGTTGGGCGAGGCGGGCGGGCTCTGGAAGACGGCGGCCATGGGGAAGTTGCGCGGCAGCTCCATGAGCAGCGCCATGGCGGTGTGCAGACAGTTCTTGCGGAGGGGGGCGTTGGACTGGTCCGTGCACTTGAGGGCACACTCCACTATCTGATGGGAGCCGGAGGGTGGGAGGAAGGTGGGGGCGGGGAAGAGAGAGACCTCAGAGACCTTAGAGACCTCAGAGACCTTAGAGGCCCGTTGAGGTGACTCAAGGTGTGTGTGTGTGTGTGTGTGTGTGTGTGTGCTGGCAGGTGTTGTTGCGAAGAGAGGCGCCATGAGCAGTGCTCAGGTTGCGCGGCAGCTCCATGAGCAGCGCCATGGCGGTGTGCAGACAGCTCTTGCGGATAGGCGCGTTGGACCGGTCCGTGCACTTGAGGGCACACTCCACGATCTATGGGTGGGGCGGGCGGGAGAGAGGAGGAAAGAGAAGCTAGATGACTTTTGAGTCGACTCAGAAGCGATCTATGGGTGGGGCGGGCGGGAGAGAGGAGGAAAAAGAAGCTTGGGTGGGTTCCACAGGCGGGCAGATGGTTCTGCTGCGTGTTGAGACAGGAGGAAAGAGAAGCTTGCGGAGCGGCGCGTTGGACTGCCTGATCCGTGCACTTGAGGGCGCACTCCACGATGTGACTGGAAGAGGGAGAGGGATGGGGAGGCGGAGGGGGATTGGACAGGGCAGGTAGGAAAAAGAGGCAATTGAGTCGAATCAAAGTGAGCGCGGGCAGATTCTGGGTAGAAAGGCGTTGGACTGGTCCGTGCACTGGAGCGCACTCTGCACGATGCGATGGGAGGGTGGTGGTGGGGTGGAGATGAGGTGGGAGGATGAGAGATCTGGGTGGCCTCAAAATGCTCTCATTTTGACGTGCAAGCGCGGTGCCTGCCTCCCAACCAACCACTCACCCACCTGCGTGAGGTGGCAGAGCAGCGAGCGGGGGTACGAGCGCACGGCCCTGATAATCGCCATGAGCGCAGTCACATGCACCGACGAGTCCGGGGGCGCCCCCCCTGCCATCTGCCCCTGCACCACCGTCAGGAACGCTGCTGGGTCCGCCATGGCTAGCGCTGGGAGAAGCGATGTTGCCAGTGCCTCCCGGACGACTATTGCCACCGCTGCTGACGGCTGCCCTGGCGCTGTTGCTGCTGCTGCTGCAGCTGGTGATGATGATGATGCTGGTGATGCTGCTGCTGAGCCTCCTCCCGTTCCTCCGGGCGTTTCGGAGGAGTTGGAGGGGATAAAAGAGGATGAGGAGGAGTGCTGCCTTGTCATTCCTGCACCACCACCGGTGCTGTTTCTATGGCTGCCTCTGCTGCTAGCATTGCTTGCACCAGCCGCAGCCGCAGCAGCGGCAGAGGCAGTGGCAGAAGAAGCAGGGACAGCCCCAGGGGTGAGAATGGTGCCTGAATCCAAAGAGTGTGCGTCAGAGAGCATGGATGCTGAGACAGGGACGGAATGAATACCATGGTGATGATGATGCATGTCCAAGTGCATGTCCGCATGCATGCCGCCATGCATGTCACCATGCATGTCCGAATGCACGTCAGCAGCGTGCATGTTTGGGTGCATGTTCGCATGCATGTGTGCGTGCACGTCCCCTGTGCTGCTGCGGAAGCCTGACGGCGTGACTGCTGGCGAGGCCAGCGACGTTGGCGTGAGAATATCGTTCATGCTCCCACTACCGCTCACACCACGAGTCAGCCCCGCTCCTCCTCCTCCTCCCGAAGCAGACCCATACCCCCCCATCCTGCCCCCTCCTCCTCCCGCTCCCCCTCCCCCTGGGCTGCCCATTGAACCTGGTCCCAGGTCGAGTCTCCTCACAGTGCTGTGCGGCGACGGGGATGGCGGGCCGGCAACAGAGGGCGAGGGGGCAGCGGACGTGGGAGGGGTGACAATCCCTGCTGCTGTTATAGACCCCCCTCCCATACCCATACCCATGCCCATGCCCATCTGGTTGCTACTGGTGCCTGTGTGACTTGTGGAGGAGAAGCTGTTGCGAGCAGAAGAAGAAGAGGAACCGGCACCGACGGCAGGGGGGTTGTTGCCTGATGCACCACCACCACCAAGTGATGCTAGGTTGGGATGAGAGAGAGACATGATTCTCTCTCCTCTCCCTTCTCCTCCTCCTCCTCCTACCCCTCCGCCTCCCCCCCCTCCTCCGCCTCCTCCCCCTCCGCCTCCTCCCACCCCTCCAACCCCATTCATTCCTTGCCCTCCTGCCGCCCAGGCTCCCCTCAGATCCTCACAAAGGACAAAAACGTCCGCAATCAGCCGGTGGATCTGCGGGCCAATCAGGGCCTGCCACGTGTCCGCCATCCCCTCAGCAAGAATCTCCGCAGCAGTAGCCGCGTGGCGGCTATTAGCCAATCGCACGAGCCGGAGCAACGACGGGGCGACAGCAGCAGCTAGGTCGGATCGACCGAGGGGAAGGTACCAGACAGCTAGAGCAGCAGCAACGTTGGTGCGCGCTGCTTTGGCGTCTGCGGGAGTGCCCCCCACGACCGAAACGACATCTGAACCGTCGGATGATTCGATCCATTGGAGCACATCGGACGGCTCCCAGCCAATCCAATCGGGTTGGACGAGCAACCCTCCTCTGCCTCCCTGCTCTGCTGCTGCTGATTTTGCTCCTCCCATTCCTCCTCCTCCTGCTGCTCCTCCGAATGGCGTTAGCGGCAGGGAGGTGGATGTAGGAACGTCGAGGGAGGAGGAGGAGGAGGAGGGGGAGGGTCGGGGCGAGGGGAAGTGGGGGGAGCGGAGGAGAGGAGGGAAGGCTCGGAGGGCGGCACAGTGGAAGAGAGAGCGCGCTGCCATGCGAATGTGGTCCGATGCATCGTGCCAGAAGCACGCATAAAGCTGGACGGGATAAGTGGAGGGGAGTTAGAGGGTGTGTATGATTTGTCGGCTCAAAAGACAAGTGGAAAAGAGAACCTTAAGGGCAGGACACACAGAACCAGGGAGATTTGGGAAGTCTCAAAACTCATACACACACGAACCTCAAGGGCAGGAGCGACAGAGCCTGGAAGCTTTTCAGCAAGTTCCCGTGAGTAGAAGGCGGCGAGGAGCGAGCAGACGCGGCGGGAGAGCGAGGGCGGGTGCGGGGGCAGCAGGTGCATGATGCGCTGCGCCAGGGCCACCAGGGCGAGTGAGCGCAGTGCTGAGAAGTGCGGCGAGGTGCGGAAGAGCTGGGGGTGATGGGAGGGGGGTTGGAATGGGGAGAGGAGAGGGGGGAAACGGAGGAGAAAGAAGGGGCATGTTTTGAGGCACGCTTTAACGAGCACAGGCCCACAGGGTGTGTGCCTGTGCCTGTGCCTGTGCCTGTGCCTGTGCCTTGTGCCTGTGCCTGTGCCTGTGCCTGTGCCCTGTGCCTGTGCCTGTGCCTGTGCCTGTGCCTGTGCCTGTGCCTGTGCCTGTGCCTGTGGCTGTGGCTGTGCCTGTGCCTGTGGCTGTGCCTGTGGCTGTGAATAACGGCACTGCTTAACAACCCTGCTTGCCTCTCCCCCGTGTCCAACCCACTCACCTCCGCGCGGCCCTGCTGTCCCGGGAACGAGAGCGTGAGCGCCCCGTTATCCCCAGCAAGCCCGGCCCCCACACACACTTGCGCCGGCTCTGATACCAATAGTGCAGCAGATAAAGCAGCGTCCAACTGGGAGTCGCACCCCCACAGGTGCAGGTACCGAATGGCATTGCGCAGCGCCATGGCTTCACCCGTCCACAGCCGCTGCCAGACCGGTGAGTCCCACGGTGTGGAATGGTGTAACGCGGTGCCGTGGTGCGGTGGAGCGGTGGAGACCTCCACCCCCTCACCCTGCTGCTGCTGCTGGTCTGAAACAGCACGCTCCCCTGCTCCAGCAGCAAAGTCGTTCAAGCTATTACCACTGCCACCGCCACTGCTATCCCTTCTTTCAAGCCCAAGGCAGCGGGGCATGGGTGGGGGCGGCGGCAGGGGGAGAGCAGAGAGAGCGAGACTAAGGTCTGGTGAGAGCAGGTAGGGGAGGTCGAGGAGTAGAATGGGCACGTGTGAGGGGGTGAGGAAGCCTTTGAAGGCTGGTGACCGCAGCACAGGCGACACATTCGGGTGCTGCTGCTGCTGCTGCTGCTGGTGTTGTTGCTGTTGTTGTTGCTGTTGTTGTTGCTGCTGATGCTGCTGGTGATGATGATGCTGGAAAGGAAGAGGAGGATGATGTACCGCTGACTCATTCCCTCTGGAATCAACAACACCTCCTTGATCCGCCTGCTCCTCCCCGACCCCGTCTCCCCGCACCTCCGCACCGCGATCAACCGCATCAAACTCCAGCAGAAGGTTCTCAACCGGGGGCGCAGCAGCTTCAGCAGCAGCGGCGGCGGAGGAGTGAGCAGAGGCTTTGATCTTGGCAGCAAAGAAAGAGAAGAGCGAGTTGGCAGGGTTGCCTCGGAGTATCCTCTCCCTCGCGCCTGAGTGCAGGTCCCACACGAATAGCATGTCCTTTGCTGCTGCTGCTGCTGCTGCTGCTGCCGCTGCTCCTGCTGCTCCCGATCCTGTTGCTGCTCCTGCCGCTGCTCCTCCCACTCCTCCCTTTCCCGCCGCTCCTGCCGCTCCTGCTCGTGCTGTCCCTGGTGAGCCTGGCACCAGCTGTGGCACAGCAGATAGTGCACCTGCTGCAGCTGGTATGGTTGCTGTTGCCGCAGCACCAGCAACACCAGTAGCACCACCAGCGGCACCAGCAGTCTCTGGCAATTGGGAAGTAGCAGCAGCCATGCTGGTAGCAATGCTGTCAGCACCACCGCCAGCACCACCACCACCACCAACACCACCAGCAGCACCGATGCTTTCACTTGCTGTGTGGCTCGCTCGTCTCGAGACAGCCCCCGAGTCAAACACATCAAGAGCATCGCTACTCGCCCCTCCGCCTATTTCAAACACAGGCCGCTTCCCTGTCCCTAGCTCCTGCTGCTGCTGCTGTTGTTCCTGGGCAGCACTAAAAGCCGCCCCTAAATCGGCCAGAACGGATGCGTTGGGTCCTGAAGCACGCCCTTTCCTCCTCCCTTTCGACACAATCAAGCCCGACTGCCCCAAGTCACCACCACCACGACCATCCCATCCCGCTAGCACACCTCCTCCCGCTCCTCCTACACCTCCTCCTCCTCCACTCCCCCCACCACCACCCCCTCCCCCCCCACCTCCTCCTCCTCCTCCTCCTCCCTTCTGCGCCCCGCTCTTCCCCTTACTCAAACAAACCAGGTACCCCCGCTGCCCGTCCCACAAAATATTATCCACGGGCAGGCGGTGACCGGGCAGCAATCTTTCGCATCTAAGCGTCTCCAGAGAGCTGATACCGACCGCACCGTCGTCTGAGAGGGAGGCGAAGCAGTAGCGCCAGGGGGGGAGCGTGCCGGGAGGAGGGTGTAAGAGACGCCTTACTGGTGCCACGTGGTGACGGAGAGTGGCTAAGGGGCGCAACCTCACCACTGCTGCTGCTGCTGCTGCTGCTGCTGCTGCTGCTGCTGCTGCTGCTGGTGTTGCTGCTGCTTGTCCTGCTGATGCTGCTGTGTGGGTGTGAATATGGGTGTGGGTGTGAGTGCGGTGTCGGCAGTACTGCAGGCAGCCTAAGTCCCACACTCTGATAGTGCCGTCCATGCCCCCACTCACAAGCACACGGCGCAACACCGCCGACTGCTGCTGCTGCTGCTGCTGCTGCTGCTGTTGGTGCTGGAATTGAGTCCCAAGCCCGCTTCTGCTGCGGCCATCTGTAACCTTCCCACCAGCACTCCCCTCCGTCTGCGCACCACCATCATGCCCAAACCCACCAGCAGCAGCACCACCAGCAGCAGCACCACCAGCAGCAGCACCACCAGCAGCACCACCAGCAGCAGCAGCACCACCACCAGCAGCACCACCACCAGCAGCACCACCACCACCAGCAGCACCACCACCAGCAGCACCACCACCAGCAGCACAAGCCTCACAAGCACCCTCGTTTCCGTCATCTGGCCACCATTCACTACGTGGTATCCACTCCAAGGGAGCAGCATGCTCCAGCATGCACAGCACAGGTCCCTCATGCCCCTCCAACCACCACTCCCTCTCCCGCCCCCCACCCCCACTCCCGCCCCCCCTCCCACCTGCCAAACCACGCGCCGAACCACCTCCCGAACCAGCTTCCGAACCGGATGCTGCCGAACCATCTGGTGGCCCCTGGGATTCTCCTGAAGCGCTATCAGTGCTATCTGGGGAGGAGCTGAGGCGGAAGAGGGGGACAGCCTGGATCTTACCACTGGCGAATCCTCGTAGTACTAGGGAGGGGCCGAAGCGACCCCCACCCACCAGCATGGCTGTCGTCACTGCCCCGTCTGCCCTCTCCTCACACTGCTTCTTGAATCCATCTTCTACCCCTCCTCCTCCTGCTCCTCCTCCTGCTGCTCCTGCTCCTGCTCTTGCTCCTGCTCCTAACGGTGCTCCTGCGGTAGCTGCTGCAGCTGCTGCTGCTGATGGTGACGATGACAAGTACGCTTTGCTACTGCCAATAATGCTACTCACATCCCCCCTCACGTCCCATCCTTGCCGTAAGGATGACCAAGCAACCATGGTCGCCGCTCGTCCCGATACCTCTGCCTCCCACGAGCCATGCCCATCCAAGTTCAGGTATTCCCCCCCATGCTCCCCGTGCCCCCACTGCCCATGCCCATGACCGTGCCCATGCCCAATCCCATAACCGCTGCCATCATTGCTCGGAAACCCCATCCCCATGCCCATGCCCATGCCCATGCCCATGCCCATGCCCATACCTATGCTGTGTCTCCCTCCCCCACGCCGCATCTTCCATACCAGCACCATCGGGTCCATCCCGAGCCTCTCTTCCAGGATCGGCGGGCCGCTCTCGGTCCGAACCAGCAAGGACTGGGAGAAGCGGCAGAAGCCAAAGCGCCGGCCAACCACCCCAAAGCTGATAGCAGGAGGCATAGCAGGGGGTAACCAGGCGAGGAGATCTAGAGACCAAGCCACAGCATGGGAGGCTCCTCCTGGCAGGGAGGCAGTATGGCCTCCCTCTGATGCCCCTCCCATTCCCCTGCTCCCCCCTCCTTTTCCTCCCACTCCTCCGTCTCCATCTCCTCCTCCTCCTCCTCCTCCTCCTCCGCTTCCCCCTTCCCCTGCTCTCTCCCGCAGGCAGCAGCACACAGCGCCGCCGTTCTCATCCCAGATTACAATCTCCGCCCCGCCCCCCCCGCCTGCCGCGCTGCCTCCCCCCCAGCAGCGCGCGTGGGCGCAGGGGGACACGAATCTCGCCCCTGCTATGCGCCCAAACGCGGAGGGCAGGCGCGCAAACGCTGCCCCAGGGACCAGGACCCCTGCCTGCGAGAGATTGTGCAGCCAATAGGGAGCCTCCACGTGGGGTGTTACAGCTAGGGCGAGAGCACAGGGAGTGGCAGTGGGTGTGTGCGTGTGCAGGGGGGTGTGGGTGGTGGTGGAAGAATGTTGGTGTGAGTGGGTTTGGGAGTGGGAGTGTGAGTGGGGGTGTGTGTGGGAGTGTGTGGGGCAGGTGTCAGGGGTGTAAGGAGTGGTGGAGCAGAGGAGGAGGGCAGCAGGCGTGGCTAGCACTAGCATGCAACCACACGGAGAGAGCTCTACTGAACACAAGGCCGATCCACCACCACCACCAGTGCTGCCACTGCCACCACTGCTGCTGCCACGGTCCCAACCAGAACCAGATCCACTGGGTACCTGATTGCTTGTAAAGGGGCTGCCTGTATAGGGGCTGGCTGTAAACGGGCTGGTAGTGGGAGGCAGGAGAGGAGAGAACGGGCTATTGCTGGTGGAAGGGGCAGATAGAAGGGACGAACCAGTGGGTGATAGACAACCAGAGACCAAGTTACTACTGGGGCCTAGAGAAGAAGAGACCCCGATTCCCCAGGGTGTGTGCCCTGTCAACCCTGCTGCTGCTGCTGCTGCTGCAGAGGAGGCGGATACGAGCGCAGCAGCAGCGAGAACGAGGGTGGAAGTGGCAGGCACAGGCGTCACGAGCAGGTGGGAGGTGCGGGCGGTGGGAGAGGAGGGCGAGGAGGGCGAAGCAGTGAGGGCTGCAGGGAAAGACGAAGGCCCGCGCAGCTGCGATGGTGGTTGAATAGAGGAAGGCGATAAGGCTGAGGAGGCGGAAGGGTGAGAAGGAAGCGAGGATTGGGAACCAGACGACGCCCTGCCGGCCACCCCTGCTCCCGCCCTCCCTGCTCCTGGTCCCTCTTCCCCTGTGCGTGCTCCCCCCGATCCTACCCCCCCTGCTGCTGCTCCCTGTGCAGCTGCAGCAGCTCCAGCGCCTGGGAAAGAGGCACGTGCAGCAGTGGGTGCAGCAGAGGAAGCACGGGAGCGGGAGGGGCCAGGAGGGGCACCAGGCGGGACGTCGCCTGGCCAGGATAGCACGTGCGGAGGGAGAGATGCGGAAGCGGCAGCAGATGGCGCTGCTGCGAACACAGCGGCTAGGCTGCTGTGGGAAGTGGGTCTACCTGTGCTGCTGCTGCTGCTGCTGCTGCTGCCGGTGCCAGTGCCACCGTCCGCAGCAGGAAGACTGGAACTGCTGCTGCTGTTGCTGCTGCTGCTAATCGCTGCTGCTCCGTGCATCGCTGCCCCTGCCCCTGCCCCTGCTGCTGCAGCAGAACCAGGAGGTTGTGACACAAGCCGGGAAGCAGACGCAGACGCAGCAGCAGAGGCAGTAGCCGAGGCATAGGCGGAGGCAGCAGCAGTAACAGCAGCAAGCAGGCGAGGAGGGGACGGGACGGAGGTAGGCCAGCAACGGCACGTACCAGCTGAGTCAGTCACCCATACCACCACCCGTATCCACTCACTCCCAGACACACCTACCACAGCAGTCCCACCTCTCCCATTTCCCCCACTTCCCCCACTTCCCCCACTTCCCCCACCCCCCCCGCCCTGCCCGCCCCCCCCGCTACCTCCCCCTCCGCCACTCCCCCTGCTGCTGCTCCAAAACCGGGGAGGGGGTGTGGCTAGGGAGACAGCTACAGCGGCAATGGGACTATACAGAGGCAAGCTTCCATGCACCACCGTTTGTAGCACGGATAGTGATACGGCTGATACAATCACGACAGACCCACGCACCCCTGCCCCTGTCGCATCCCCCCCTGCCCCCCCTCCGCCGTCCCTCCTCTTCCCCCCGCCCGCGCCCCCGCGCCCCTTCTCCTCCTTCCCCCCTCCCCCCGCTCCGCCATGCAGGGGAGACTTAGGAGAGCCTGTGCCGGCCACTCCCCCAGCCTTCCCCCCCGCGCCGGCGCCTGCAGTCCCACCAGCACCAGCAGCAGCAGCAGTATCATTCCCAGCAATGCAGAGAAGTGCGTGGGACGAGCCAGGGACAAGGCAAGCAGCAGCAGGGGTGCCCACCCAGGGGGGGAGGCGGCGGCGGCGGCAGCAGCGGCCGGAGGAGGCATGCCAGAGACAGAGAGTGGATGCGGAGCAGAGGGACACGAGCGCATCAGCTGGCCACAGCTCGTCCTCTGCTCCTGTCATGCCGCCTGCCAGCCAACTCATCGCGCCGTCGCCGCCGCTGCTGCCGCCGCCGCTGGTGCTGGTGCTGGTGTGGGTATAGGGGTTTCTTGTGCTGTTGCTGCTGCTGCTGTTGCTGCTGCTCTGAGTGAAACCACCATGGCAGGCAGTGCTGCTGCTGCTGCTGCTGCTTTTCCCTTGTACGTCTGCCTCACGCTTCTCGGCAAACCCAGCCCCGCCTTCCGCTCTCTCCTCGCCTTCTGACTTTTCCCCCTCCTCTTCCTCCTCCTCCTCTTCCTCCTCGTTCTCCTCCTCCTCCTCCGCTTCCTCGTCCTCATCCCCAGCACTCCCCTCACCTACACTCGCCAGACTACCTCGGCTTGAATTCTTCCTTTCACCTCTCCGACCCCTATCACCTCTACCATCCCTGCCGTCCTCTCCCCCACTCTCCCCGCTCTCTCTCCCCCCCGCGCCCGCACCTCCCCCAGCGCGCATCATTTCGCGCCTGGCCGCGGCAACGGCGGAAGGGACGGTGGCGGAGGGCGGGAGCGCGCTGGCGGGGGGGGCGGAGGGCGCGGAGGCGAAGGCGGAGCAGGGGAGGAGCGCAACTATTAGCGCGCTGTGGCCGCACAGGAACTGCGCGGGCCGGATGGGGGCGCGGTTGGGGGGCTGGAGGCAGGGGAACCAAGACAGCAGAGAGGTGGAAGGGGAGGGTTCCGGGGCGGAAGGAAACGGGGAGAGGGAGCAGGGGGAGAAAGGGGAGTAGGGGGGGAGGGGGAAGAGGAGGAAGCGGACTAGGGTTAGTGATGCGAGAACGCCACAAGCGACACAAGGAGCATCGAGTAGGCTGACTAGGAGCAGAGGAAGCTCGAATGGGCTGGGCGTAAGAAACGGAAACTCGTGAATCGATTCGGGAGATGCGGGCGGAAGCTTAGAGAATTATGTTGAAAATTAGAGCATGAGGAGGAGAGTGAGGCGGAGAGTGAGGAGGAGATCGAGGCAGGAGAGGAAGATAGCGAGAGAGGCGGAGCGGAGGAGATTAACGGACAAGGTCCGCTCTGCTTCCCTTCCTACCTACCCACTCAGCAACCCACCCATTCGTGCCGGCTTTCCGAGAAGCTTCCCGATTGATGTCTCTCCGCCTGGACCAGCGACTCGGGGCACACACGCCACCTTACGATCGCGCCGTCCTGCGCGCCGGTCCACACGGACGCGCGACTCGCGGGCCCGGCGTTCGCGGCGCCATCCCCGCCGCCGGTCGCGCCGCGTGCCGCGCCGAGCGACGCGACGCAGGTGATGTCGTGCTCAGGCGGCGCGTCGGCCCACAATGCCTGCGGCAGCAGCACGCGGAGCTGCTTCGCTGGATTCTCCGACATCGCGATTCTATTCGGGCGATCTGATCACCAACGTGGATGCAGCTTTAGCTGACGTGGACAGGATGAGTGGATAAGACAACTGGAAAGTGAACCAGCGACGCAACCGGGAGCCGCGCGAGATTTCAGATTCAATCTCCCGCTCATGGGTCCTCCTTACGTTGCTGGCGCACGCTCATCCTACTTGTTACACGTCACTCCCTACAGACAATAAGGTACCACCACTGCTCACGGAACCATGGCTGACGCAATTTAGAGTCCAAGTGCAACGTACACAGAACAAAAATGCGAGAAGGAAATACAACTGTAGTATTGTGGCCGATGAACTTACGAAATCCTTGTAGTGAAGCGTTGTGGGAAAGTGTTATGAATGAACTTGCAGAGTGCGCAGTAAAACGAATAACAACGAGAATGGAAATTACTGAATGACGATACAATGGAAGTGACGAGGCCTAAATAGGGGAAGTCCTAGCAAGGCGGGGAGGTTGGGCGAGGATGGCTCGGTGATGGATGCGATTGGTGCGGAGGCGACTCGGGGGTGGTTCGATGCGACGAAATAGGAAGGGCAGGTTCGTTCGCGTGAACCTCGGGATGGCCTCGCTAATGAGTGCCTCAGTAAGGATTCTGTAAATCCTTACAGAAAGCGGTGCAGGCGAAACTAGGCGAAAGTCTCGTATTATGTAACCAGAATGTATAACACCAAAGGACACAATTTTATTTATCAGTACTACATTGCACTCCACCGTGAAAGGATAGGTGGCGCCAGGTGGCAGATGATGAGAGGAAGCTGTTACAGGGGATCTGCAATGAGGACGGGCCAGCAAGTTGGTCGGGCCTATTTCTCTCAATATGGCGCAAACCCGTGTACCTTCCACCAGCCTCCGTAAACTGGCATAGGGGGGAAGTGCAACGCCTTACGTGGCGCGGCCTAGGCCCTCCAAGAATACAGTTACGACTGCGGATGTATCTATGTTTTGATAATATAGTTACAACAAAAAAAATTGCACTCTACCGTAAATGAATAAGCCATTCGGCTATGAACACGCATATGCAGAGAACCCTTTTCGCTGTCGATTACCAAACAGTCGTGCTGCATGCTTTTTTGTTGCGTTGAAATGTAAGGCGTACCAATGGAAATCATGAACGGTCCTGTGGTGGTAGTGTGTTTAGAAATAACGAGACCCATCCAAGCTGCAAGAACGGCGAAAACACAGCAAACACAGGATGAAGGGATCACATCGCATATGGCAATATGTACAGGGCAGAATGAGACAATTGAGCAACACTCTTTAGGCATCAAAGAGTCTAAGAACAAACAGGCGGCATCAACAAGAAGCACCAACACTCACTTACCGTTTAGCGATGCCTTGTATATCCAATTTTTACCACATCGTCTTCCAGGTCAAGGCACAACTCCTCTAGCATCCACCAGCTGGCATTGATGGGCGTTCTGCAATGAATGGGTGGATCGACAAGATTAAACAGGGCGGATAAAAGCTAAGGCAGGTAGAGAACCAAGGGTGCGGGCACAATTATGCTTGAGGCCAGAGGGAGAGTAAGGGTGATGCTTGTCACCAGCCCACATGCATGCACATGAGAAGAGAAAGAGCGATCTAAGAATAATAGCACCTCTATCACCAACACTAGCGGCACCATCACCAACACTAGCGGCACCATCACCAACACCAGCGGCACCATCACCAACACCAGCGGCACCATCGCCAACACCAGCGGCACCATCGCCAGCACTAGCGGCACCATCGCAAACACTAGCGGCACCATCGCCAACACTAGCGGCACCATCACCAACACTAGCGGCACCATCGCCAACACTAGCGGCACCATCGCCAACACTAGCAGCGCCATCACCAACACTAGCGGCACCATCATCAACACTAGCGGCACCATCACCAACACTAGCAGCACCACCACTAACATCAGCCCCGCCATTACCAGGGCACCTTCTCAGGGTTGTCAGCCATCCCACCATGATGTTGTGAACGAATGCGCCCCAGCATCCACCCGAGAATACACCCAGTCTCCTGTTGACGTCGCCATAATACCAGCATCACCATTACCACCAGCACTGCCAGCACCAGCGCACCTTCTCAGGATTGTCAGCCATCCCAACCATGATGTTGTATGAGCAAATACGCTCTAGCAACCACCCCAGGATAGGCCGGAGACCTTGCCTCTTGGGCCTTATGCGCGAACCTGAGGTCATGGCACTCGTGTTGAGTGGCTGCAAAAGAGAAGCACAGCACAGAGTAGCATGGCAAAGCAACAACACAGGGTAGCACAGCAAAGCAACAGCACATCACAGCACGGCACAGAGAGGACATGGAGGAATGGAAGTAAGTCACCAAAGCGGGATCCAGAGAGGAGCAGAGGGAGTAGGGGTTGAAAGCAGGTGGAAGGAGAGAAACGTCACTTGTGGAGGGATCCTCGTGTGGTGGCTGAAGAGCTGACTATGCTGCAAAAACTGTGCAGACTGATGCAAGAAGAAGAGGAAGAGGAGGAAGAAATCAGAGAAAGTGAGGTGGGGTGGAGTGGGGTATGGGTTAAAAGGGGTGGGGTGATGCGGGGTTGAGTGTGGTGGGCTTGTGTTGTTGCAATGAGAGCATCTCAGTAGAATAGGAAGAATAGATGGACAAGAGTAGGTGTTGGGAGGGCAACATTGGGCGGAGAACGAACAAGGGGCGAAAAGGAGCGAAGGAGAGGAAACAAATAGAGGGGAATGGAAGGAGGGGGAGGCGGATTGAATGGGGGGGAGAGAGAAGGAAGGCTGGAGGAACTGTAGGAGAGGTGAGACGGAAACGAGACAAACCACAAACACACACCCCTCTCTCCCGTACCTCCCCCCACCGTCCACCCCACTCTCCCTCCCTCCTCTCTGCTCTCCCCTTCTCCCTCCGTCCACCCCTCACCCACCCACACCCACTTGCGGTGCGAGCAGGGTTCGAGAGCAGCACGGATGTATGTGTTTCTTGTCCTCAGTGCTCCGCATACCCTAGAGGTGCTGACGGGGAGGGGGAAACAGCCCAGAGTGTAGGGGGGGAGTGGAAAGGGGGAGGAAAGGGGAAACTAGAGCCATCGACGTACCGTACATCAACTCGTGATGCGGTCTCTGGTGAAGGTTGTCTGAGCTCATCTGAGCCCTACAAAGTACACTTCGGTGGCAATGGCAGCATCTGAGGGGCTGGGTTAAGTGGCACTGATTGTGTTGGGTTGGGTTGGGCTGGGTTGGGTTGGTGTGGAATGGGGATGGGTCTCATGCAGTGCGTGAGATGAAATGGCTTTAGTTGAGAGGAGTGGCCAACCCTGTTTGTGGGGGCAATTACTCACTTGTTTACTCACCAAGTCATGTTACTGTTGCATGCGTTAACATGATCATCCCAGTCATACCTGTGGATGCAGTTGATCTACTAGGCCTAGTTAGTTACCCCCAAAACTTGTGCATTTTATTGTGCACATTTAATCCTGGTTTATTTGGAAGGACAAGTACTTTTATTGGAGAACAATGCAGCATGAATAAGTTACCTACATATAACCGCATCCATACACATCTCCACTCGTAATAATCACAACACTGCATGAACCCCTAGCAATACAGCACGCAAATGCTTATTTCACCTTTTTTCACAACCTTTCCACAGAGAGCAACCTGGTTACCTTCACATTGTACAACTTCGTGTGATGGTTGTATAATTGATTTAACAGAATCGCGAACGTCAGCCTCCGTTTCCAGGAAACCTTCATAGTGTAACATGAAGCTGTAACGCTTGCGGCGAGCAGCCTTCGGACTTGTGATGTTGAACATACAAGGCTTGCCAAATTCAACAGCTGTGAAGCAGGACGATCCATAAGCTAACGAAGGAAAATCCCCTCCTTTGAGATCCAAGAATTCGTACTCGAGGACCATTCTGTGAGAAATTGCAGAATACTTGCCAACATGGCAAGAAGAGATAGTAGTCAGGAAACACTGGAGTGGCCAATCATGCTCCTTCAAAAGTACAGCCAGCGGCTTCCTCAGAGGGTGCCATTGGAACAATTGAACGAGGGAACGTCAGCATTACCTATACGCCGACACCACGATTTTCCCCGACGCTCCTGCGTTGCCGACCACCATCTTGTTGCGCTTGGTACGATGCAGATGGACGACGTATTTTACTAGAAATGGGAAAACGGGGATCACGGGAGGGACGAGGAAGGCGGGGATTGATTCTTGACTTGACAAAAAAATCATCACGCGGTTAGACCGCGTACGTTTGAGGTGCCCCAAAATTCGTCTCATTGCCACTATTTTTTATCACGCAGCTTGACCACGTTGTCAAACTTATATGCTATAGTCTGTGTAGGCTGTAGTGGGGTAGACTATATGGGGTACAACATTTCTAGGTTTTCCTACTTGTACCCACCTCTTTCCTAGTTCATTCATTCCTCATTCTTCACATGGTATAGAGCAGGTTCCCTCGTGGGAACGCTTCTCAGGGCCCACCACCTAACTCGATCTTTTTTTTTTTTTTTTTCCTGCCCGAGGCGCGCCCCGTAGGCCGCCCTCACGTTGCGCCCTCTTAGAGGCCCCTCGCGCCACCTTAGCGGTCCCGTCGCCGTCCTTTGCGGCCCCGTCGCCGCCCCTCTAGGCCCCTCGCGGCCCCTTCACGGCCCCGTCGCCGCCCCTCTAGGCCCCTCGCGGCCCCTTCGCGGCCCCGTTGCCGCCCCTAGCGGCCTCGTCGCCGCCCCTCTAGGCCCCTCGCGGCCCCTTCGCGGCCCCGTCGCCGCCGCTCTAGGCCCCGTCGCCGCCCCTCTAGGCCCCTCGCGGCCCCTTCGCGGCCCCGTCGCCGCCCCCTCTAGGCCCCTTACGGCCCCTTCGCGACCTCGTCGCCGCCCCTCTTGGCCCCTCTGCGACCCCGTCGCCGCCCCTAGCGGCCCCGTCGCCGCCCCTGGAGGCCCCGTCGCCGCCCTTCGCGGCCACCTCGCCGCCCTTAGCGGCCCCATCGCCG